ATTATTATTATTTATTATTATTAATTGAGAAAATTAAGTCCAGCTAGAATTCTATTGAAAATGTCTGTCGTGCCTTTTCCTTTTGTGGTACACTGAGCACGTGCTCAATGGGCTTAAAGGTTAACCCATCTCTGTGTCCGACAGACCTTTCTTCATCACTTCCCTCTTCTGCTGCATTCCCTGCTCGTGAGGTGAATTGATGCAGATATCGTCCGCCACCATTCATCTTTTTGGTTGGTCTTCTCTTTCTAGTTGAAAGCAGCGATGGACATGGAGCAGAGAATGCTGTGCACACTTTACCAGCACTTAATCATCTCAATGATTATTGATAGATTAGGGTTTCTTACTGTTTCGTTTGAAGCTCTGCGGTTGATCCTGGGTTGTACAAGACACATCCCGATTGTGCGCAATCGATACATCCGTTCATTGCCGACTATTGCAGACAGGCTAAAGGTGCTGCAGGCTAAGTCATACCTCAGAGTAGCTGCAGACAAAGAACACCCTCTATATGAAGCTTTGGCTGCAGCCAAGGGTCAAAGGTTGAAAAGGGGAAAATCGTGGATAGCTCAAGCAGAAGACACAATAGGACAAGTATGCATGATGGAGAACATTGGGCGAGGAGAGGAGTGGGTCAGATAACCAGTCGAAAAAGTCTGACCTGTGTAGGGTTATGATCACATTGGGCCGCGAGTGCAGAGAGTGGCCAAGGGATGCTACGGATGTGGAAGTCCAACAGTTGATTCACGACAGTTCACGCCCAGGTGATCTGATTGTCTATACAGATGGTTCGGTGGTGAGAAGTTTGAGAAGTGCCTGGGGGTTCGTAGTGAAAGCCAATTGAAAATCTTTAGTGCAAGACAACCTAGCATTTGATACCAGAACATCTAGCTTGAGAATGAAGGTGAAGGCGGTAACTGCAGCTCTCTGGTGGCTAGAAAACAAGATGCATAAACATGTCATAATTGTAACAGACTGTGAGCATGCTGAGAAAGGTGAAGACAGGAATGCTTCGAGCAGAGTGGCAAGCTTCACTGGAAAGGTCACAAGTAGTGAGCATACTTTGGATCTTTTCTTCGGGCAATGCCGGCGCGGTCGGTAATGAACAGGCAGACTGGCTGGATCTACACTACTGGGTGTTGAACTGATACATGACAATGATCAAGGCATTTTGGGAACCAGCAACGGAATCAGTAGAGAAGCAAGATTATTATGGGCTGAAGAGAATGATGCAGCTGAGTGTAAATAGAGGGTCGGGCCGGCTTACTACACTCAGAGGAAAGGCAAGAGGGACATATAACTAGATTGTGAACGGTACCATAGGTACTGAACTCTGCGCTGGCTGCTGAAGATGAGGATGGAGCATGCATGGGAATGCCCCGAGTGCTGTGATGTCAGCTCTTGAAGAACTAACTTAACTCTTTTTAGCTGGTATCAAGTGTGTTAGATCTTTCTGGAAATTATCTGTCCATCGTCTTCTTGGTCTGCCTCATGGTCTACGATCAACCAGCTTCTTCGTGCACACAGTTTGTTACCTCTCTGTGATCTGATGTTCTTTCAAAATGCCCCAGCCATTTCAGTCTCTTATAACCCATGATGCCAGTGACCACGTGGTTAATCTAAGGCTTCCGATAGAAAGGTTCACAATACAACTTGCTTGGCAGTGTGATCATGGGCATTCCCATAAGCGCTCCATCACCTTTTCAGCAGCCAGCGTAGAATTGCGAATACCAATGGTGCCAGTAGCACTCCGATTTTATATTTCCGTCTTGCCTTTGCTCTCAGTGTCCAGTATCGGCCAGATCCCCTCGTCGCTTCTCGTTTCGTCACTCTCGTCAGACCGTGTTTTATAAATCACGTTGTTTGATGATTGTGTTCACGTCTCCCCTACCAGCCTCCGTCGAAATGTTGAATTTCTGTGCACTTTTGATTCTTTGACACTGAACCATCTGCATTCACAACATAACAAAACCAGCCAGTCACGCAAAGACCCGTTAGGTCCCTGGAGGCGTATCGATGGAAGAACTGTCTGTCTGTGTATTCCTCTTGATGAATAAATACATGATAACTTAGTCCTGTCAATTTCTTGATGTTGTCTTTCTTCTTCGACTACACCCCCCCCCACACCCCCAACTCCCGCCTTGTTCCTTAAGTAAAGTCTTTGAAAGCGAAACATGTTTCACGACGTGCCCTAACGAAGCTAGCCAAGAGAGGCTCCTGATGTCCTTAAATGTGTATATCTCTGACATATTTGTCAGTGTTGTGTTCCAATAATTAATTCGTAAAAGTTAAATAATTCATTCACTATCTATCATATTCAAAAATTCGCTCACGCATTCATCTAACATTTCAATGATTCATTCATTTTACAAAATATCGGTCGAAAACATAAACTGCATCTCAAAAACTTTTACTAATAAATGTAATGTCAGAAATGCCAACACACTCTTTTGATTTTGCTGTTCTGCAGAATGATAATGTAAACGCTGGCACGGCCTCTTAATGACCTTACAGTGGAAAATAACGTGCTGCACGTATCAAACATAAGATCCAGATATGTCATTTACTTTCCTCTGAAGATCATATAAAATGTGATTCAGAATTAAACATAGAGCAACGTCTGTGAGTTTCGAGTGATACTTAAAAGTGTAAGTGTTACTGTAAGTGTGTGTGTACTTCTCGGTGTGTCCGTACACCGATGTCTATCTGTCTTGTCAACTGTGTACGAAACTTTTAATCTAGAAAGAGAATTAAATGGAGTATTACCACTCGTTTGAAGCAGCAACGAAATGCACAATAGGTTTAAATCACCATTGATTACATGCGTCATGAGTTCTGATCATCTGAACTTGGCAAGGGCATGTTTGGAGAATATCAGATGACATACAGTTAAAAACTGAGTCGTCGACACGAGAGTTGAATATTCATAGACCATGGAAAGCAAATATCTAAACACACCTAGAAACACTTGATACTGGTATCACTAACTGGAAAGCGAGGGCCGACCGAGAGATGATGGAGACCGGTATAGCAATAAACCTCAAGGGCACGGTCAAAGAAGATGATCCGGTGCATCATCTCTGGACATTGTTCCTGATGTACGAACTACTTTGAAAATATTAGCGTCGACATTGGTCATGATATACGAACTACTTTGAAAATATTAGCGTCGACATTGTTCCTGATATACGAACTACTTGGAAAATATTAGCGTCGACATTGTTCCTGATATACGAACTATTTTGAAAATATTGGCGTCGACATTGTTCCTGATATACGAACTACTTTGAAAATATTGGCGTCTACATTGTTCCTGATATACGGACTACTTTGAAAATATTGGCGTCGACATTGTTCCTGATATACGAACTACTTTGAAAATATTGGCGTCGACATTGTTCCTGATATACGAACTACTTTGAAAATATTGGCGTCGAAATATTGGCGTCCCACGAGAATTTGACAAATAGTTTATCTATTCACCTCTGTAATAGTTGAACCGATTATCATCCCGTCTGCTGGTTCATCAATCTCTGAATTTGTCTTCAGTCTGTCAACTCTATTCATTCTTTTATGTTCGTTGGTCTGTATGTATGTTTGAGTTTTCAGTCTTTTTGTTTCTAGTTAGTAGCATGTCTAACGCAATGCCTGTAGCAGTTTTGTAATTCAACGTGCATTTTTATTCCGTCTGCGACTATTTCTATGTCATCGTCGTTATGTTATCTGTTTATTTTAGTTGGGAGTCCTGATTTCGACAACACTACTGACCATGTACGGCAGACATACAATCTGGTTTGTTTCAAAATAATGAATTTTTAAGCAGTCTAATAATACGGGTTTTGAATGTGAGCCTTTGTAATGTGGCGTTTCTAAATAGGCTCACCAATGTGGCTTTTGTAAATAAACTCAGCAGGGTTTTTGTAAATGAACGCACAAACGTCGCTTTTGTAATTGAACGCATCAATGTGGCTTTTGTAAATAAATGCATCAAAGTGGCTGTTCTAAACGAACCCACCAACGTGGTTTTCTAAATGAACTCACTGATGTGGCTTTTGTAAATAAACATTGTGGTTGGCACCTTTCCTCACACTTTCCGTTATAAATATCAAAACAGAAAATAAAATATGATACCTGTATATCACATTAGATGGGAGCTTGTCTTTTAGGGAGGCAGTTCCAGCGAAATGTTGGGAGGAACAAACTGGGGCTCAGTCAGCTGAAGATTATGGCAGCATTGGAGATGGGGCAGAGAACACAGTTGACAAAGCACCAGCATTTGATCACTGCATTAATGGATAATGAACAGGGACATTCGACTGTATGGATAAGTAAGCTGATGAAACTGTAACTCTTCTGTTTCTTCTTGTTCTTGTTCTTGTTCTTGTTCTTGTCTTTGTTCTTGTTCTTCTTCTTGTTCTTCTTCTTCTTCTTCTTCTTCTTCTTCTTCTTCTTCTTCTTCTTCTTCTTCTTCTTCTTCTTCTTCTTCTTCTTCTTCTTCTTCTTCTTCTTCATCTTCTCTACTTCTGAAATGCCTTTTGGTGTGAGGCCAGAAAGAGATCTTAGGAACGGGCGCTTCTGTTCGCTTCGTATAAAGTAATTTACAGTCACTGATATTTCTGTGGTCCATAATCTACGTGGTCGGCAATGTTATGTTACCGCTGTATCTGTATGACATTGCTCTCTGAGGTTTCCTGTCTGGTGCCAATCTCGTTACATGGTAGAACTTGAGCTCAATTGAAAAAAACAAAAGCACTACGTATGATTCTGGGATTTACAATAGATGTCATTAAAGTGTAAATGCGCAAGCTCCTGACACTGTCGGCAAAGAACCTTGAAATTCTGCAGGCGGGTCTTTCCCATGAGACATCTCTTCAGCGCAGACAGCCCAGTCGCACACAGCTCTCGCTCGCTCAACCGCCCGATCAGCCACGTGTGTCTCTCGCTCGCTCGCTAACTACCCATTCGTAGCCTGATTATCGATAGCTAGATACTGGCCAATACTCGCTTGATTTTCGGCTGAGTTTGGCTCGACTACGCTATTGGTGTCGTCTGCGTTTGGGTTATTAGCAGCCCGGGAGCACATTATTGTTGAAGAGCCAGTCGTACCAGCCATTTGTAAAACGATTGTCTCGTGAACTGCAGAGAAAACACGCTTGGTGTACTTTTCAGTTCACTCAACAAGGCTTGTCGACTCTTCAGGAATCGAGCTTTCAGTATAGACGGCAATTTTTTTCCATCATGGGAAAAAAAACAACAAGCAGCCGCACCTACACCAAGGAAGAGGTTGGCCATACCCGCAGCATCACCGGCAGGCGCTCCTATCGCGGCGCCTCGCTCACCTATGCCAGCAACTGAAGCCGCCCCCATCGTGACGCCAGCACCAGAAGCCTCCCCTATCGCGGAGCCACCACCTAAAGCCGCCCTAGTCGTGGCGCAGGGACCTACCGGCACCCGCCTACGAAGACAGCAGCTTGGAGCCCACAGCAGTGACAATATCATCCAGTGCTCACGTTGTAACAAGGCGTGGCACACAGCCGCAAACGGCCGCAGCAGCCTAGCATGCCGCTACTGCTCCAAGCCGTACGACTTTAAGGAGTGCCCACTTGCCAAGATGGACACTGACTTTAAAAAGCCTAATAGTAGCAGACGATGCTCAAACTGTGGAGGGTCCCACAGCGCCAGATACCTGGGCTGCACCTACCTTAAAATGTGCAAGCAACAAGCAGCAATACCAAGAAGTGAGAGAAGACCAGAGAAGGTGATTCCAGTCGCAAACAACACCGCGACAACCCAGGAAGTGAGAGAACTAAAAATCGCAGTCCAGAAGCTAACAGCAGACAAAGAGAAGGCCACCGCTGAAAGACTCGAGATGCTGGGACTAATCTCCCAAACACTAGACGAAATCAAAGCCCAGAAACGAGACAGAATAGCAGAAACTATGCAACATACCAAGCTGCTAGCAGAAGTCAATGAAGCAAACAAAAAACTCCAAGGCCTTCTGACACAGCTGAAGACAGATCAGGACCAGGCAGCAGCCTACCGACAAGCCTAACGAGAAGAAAGAAAGGCAGAGACGGCCCTACTAAACGAAGCCAGAGAATCGACATACAGAGAAGTCGCCATGCTAGTCAAAACAACAGCAGAAGCAGAAGCCGCTACACGAGAAGCAAAGCAAGAACGAGAACTCCTGTTCGCAGAGAGAAACAAGGCACCAGCCGCAAAACCAAACATCAGCAGGGCCGACAAATATACAGACAAATATAGAGGAAAACACAACCCAGCCAGATGAAGTAACCGTATCCGAAGCTACAGAGGCGACCCCAGCCACAGAAGAAACCACAACCTGTACAGAAAGCAAAGAGGCGGCAGCCGATGAGATTAAAAGCGAGGCCGACCTCCTCAAGAAGTTAAAATATTATAACGAACAGATACACCCGCAAAAGATCGAACTGGAGAGGAACGGCTATTGTATCGGATTTAATAGAGAGGAGATTGATAAAGTACAATTGCTACCCGACGAGGAAAGGCAGGCCTTCTACAAAAAAATCTGTGGCTTCTGCGAGGTGATAGAAACAGTCAATATAATGTTGAGGGAAGCAAGATGGAAGCAAAGTACGCCAAACAGACGTCAACGCAAACATTGACAGAGCCAGCAGCCAATTGAAACCACCAAGCCGCCATGACACCCAGTTCCCGTGGAACAAGCCAGCCTCACTGACGCGACGAAGCACATTAACCAGATTGACCACTCCCACCCATCCCGTTCAAGGCCACCCAGGCACATATGGCTGTCCTTCTCAGGACTGCCATTTCCAAATCCCAAAACTGCAAGCCGCCCGCCAAGCCCACGCTGCTGACATGATGCAACAACGTAAAAGAAATTCAGGCGAAAATCATCGCCACAAAAGTAAGAAATTCAAGCTCAGATAGCAAATAACCCGTCCTTGAGAAAACAGGCCATCAGGCGGTTAAAAAAGGAGAAAGTTTGAAATTTTTGTTTTTCTTCTAACGAACAAAACTTTCCCATGAGAAGCTGCAGATCAGGACCACCTTTATCATGAAGTGTTGTATACAGCTATTGGCCCCTATGCTGATTACGTATCATGTATGTATGCATGTATGTATTTATGTGAGTGTAAATGTGTGGTTGTGGGCATATGTTTGTGTCTGTACATGTGATTGTATATGTGTGTATGCATGGATGCATGTATAGGTGTGTGTGTGTATGGATGTGTATGTGTATGAATATCCATAAATGTATGTGTGTGTGTTTTCTGTTTGTGCATTTATGTCTATGTATGTGTATGTGTTTTATGTTTGTATATGTATGTAGACACGTGTGTGTATGAATCACGTATGTCTGTATATGAGTTCGCATATATGAGAACGTTGAACTATGTATACGTGTGTGTGAGTGTGTACGATTGTGTACACATGATGTGTGTATGCATTATTGTATAATTTCTTTATAATATTTCTTTATTGTATCTATAAAATGCATTA